CCCCAAAACCCCAAAACCCCAAAACCCCAAAACCCCTCACATTTTAACTTAAATAGAATTAAGGTAAATATTTTATAAACTTAATATGGGACTGCAATACTCCACCAAGATGAACGCTAGAGTCAGAAAGCACGAAGATGTTTTGGAAGACATTCAAAAAATAAATGATTATCAGTAAGATCGCTTATAATTACTACTTCATTTAATAGAACAGAGTTATATTTATTTTTACCTCTGATTATTTTGTAAGAAATATCGTTATTTGAACTAAATGATACTATCAGCTTTAAGCGACCAGGCTTATTTTACAACATTTTTTATATGATCTGTCCATTTTCAGAGTTTCATATTATCTACCTCTTCTATAATTAGCCATGTTCATCATAAAGCTTAGCTGAAAACTAAATCTTTCATCAGAAAAACTTCAACCCCTCGAACTATCAAATTTGTTGCGTTTAAGAGAATTTTGAATTGCTCAAAAATGCGTCAGAATGTTTTCATCTTAATAAAACAAATTTTAATAAATTTCGGCATGATCATGTTCCTAACATTTGACATAGAAACTTTATCAAAGGTAAGACTATATCAGATATGGCAAAGTTGGATCAGTTCTCATAAAGATTTAAGAAATCAAGAATTATTTTCTATAAATTAAGTTTCAAAGAGCATTCACCTAACTTTAATAAATTTACTAGGTGCGAATTAGGGCAATGCTTAATCTACTGCAAGGAGACCTTTTCCATCTTTAAGAAACCTTAAGACCATTTTAATGAGAATTAGCATTTGATAAATGAAGAAGCAATAAACTTTGTATAGGACTGAGTATCAAGGCTTCTTGAAATATAAACACTAACCACCCAAATCTATTTTGGAGATTCAAAAATAAAGTTGTCATTAGCATTGAACTTGTATGTTCTATTATTAACAAAATAGAAAACTCAAAATTTTGAAAAAATCGAACACCAGTTTCAAGAAGAAGAAACTAAAGATGGTAGCGGATACAGAATCAGTAAATCCTTGATGAAATTCTTTGAATTCGAAGATTGTGAATTCTCAAAACAAATGGGACTTGTTGAGTTTTACGAAATAGCAGAAGAATTAATTATTGCCCTTCAATACTTTAAAATTAGACAAAAAGAAAGTGATATGATTCAGAGACTTAATTCTTTTGGTAATAAAATTATACTTATTTTTAGAAAAATTTAATGACGAAATTGATAAAAGCTGCCTAATTTGTCTTGATAGACCAAATAACATTGTTCTATCATGTACTCATGCATATTGAAACGAGTGAATTTCAGAATGGAAAATGTTTCATAAATCTTGTCCACTTTGTAGACACTCAATATACAGTAATGCTTCCAAAAACTCTGATGAAGATAAACTTTCTGACTCGAATAAATTTGAAATCATAAATCTAGAGGAAGAGACTTTAAGTGAGATCGAAAATGATAATATTATGAAGCAAAAGCTTATGAGCTGTATTGATTATCTACAAAATGAGGTTAATTAATAAAAATTCCTTTTAGCATCAAATTCTCAATATATATTAATTAAGAATGAAGGAAGATGAAATTGTATCTTTGATGCTTAGTCATTAAAATTTATTATTTTGGTAAAACATTCAATGTTTACATAATGGAACGGGGTTTTGGGGTTTTGGGGTTTTGGGGTTTTGGGG